TAAATATATTTTTTTTTTCATTTAGCATCATAACATTATACCTATTTATCATGTATACTATTAGATTATTAGGTAAACATCATATAATTGGCTTTTTAATGTCTGGATATAAAGGTACACTATTGATACTTTAACAAAAGTTCTAAAATAACATTATTGAAACTATAAAAAGAAGAAATAATATTTATGGTTAAAATCATAGCCTTAGACATACTATAATATATTAATATGTCTATCATAGGCGTAGAATGGAGGAGGAGGCTAAGGGGCTATGAGAACTGAAACATTTTTACTTAAAAATAGGCTTTAGACTCCCCCCCCATATAAATTCATTACAATACGCCTATGATGTCTATAGTAGTATTGAATCTTTGCCCAAAACRATTTGTTTTTAATATGAGCTACTTTTCTACCTTTGCATATTTGTAATTAGTATGTACAAAATATATTTTTACTTTTTTAAAATTCTTTGATCCTAATGTTCTTAATTAAATTAAATATATCTTTATCTGTTGTCAGACTTAAGTGCTAGACTAGTTAGGTTCTAATCAATACCTTTCAATTATTATAATAGATTATAGATTATAAAAAGTTGTTAAAACTAATGGATTACTGTAGTATAGGGTTTTAATATTTTTAAGCCATACAATATATTTATTAGGCTATTTATATAAAGTTCTATTTTTAAAATGTTCTGAAATATGCTTTTAGAAAATAATGTTCTGAATATTGGAATGTTACCAATTGTAGGACCATAATGAAATTCTATGATAGTCAATACTCGAGAAATTTGTTTTGAAAGCAAGAACCCCTGAAAATATCCTCGGAATAAACCGCAGATAAAAAAACCAAAATTTTTATATAATCCTCCAATTTTAACTATAAATCTTGACAGATTAAGAGATTAACTTATCATACTTATATGATTTGTAATTTTCTCAATAAAAAATATATATCATTTATTTATTTTTTACATGATCATAGTATAAAATCTATTGTTATATTTTGTAATAAATAGGAAAAAAAAA